TTTTCAGAACGGAAAATTTAAATATACAGAAAAATTTGTTAGCTTATTTATTTATTTTTGAGAGAGACAGAGAGGGCAAGTAGGGGAAAGACACAGAGAGAGAGAGAGGATCCCAAGAGGCTCCGCACTGTCATTGCAGTGCCTGATATGGGGTTCGAACTCTCGAACCATGAGATCATGACCTGAGCCGAAATCAAGAGTCAGATACTGAACCGACTGAGCCACCCAGGGGCCCCAAAATATACAGAAGTATTTTTTAAGATGACAGAGTGGCTGTGAACCTACTGCCCCACATTTAACAAATCTTATTTTGCTCTATTCTATTTTGAAAAGGTAAACATTTAGAGCTACAATTGAAATTACCTTGTATGCCTGCCCCTAGTCCTCATTTGTCTTTCTCTCCCTTTCTCCTCTCGGTTAACAACACTGTTCTGAGTCGTGTGCATATCGGTCTGATGCATGATTTACTTCTTTTTACTATGGATACAAGTGTTGTTTTAAAGCTTAAGAAATATTGCTTGCATCATCTGCACCCCTATGATTTTTAAGATTTCTCTTACTAGTATAATTGCCTTTGGGGGGAAAATTAGTAAAAGTAGGAGCATTAGATCAAAGAATATGTCCCCGTAAATGTTTATGCATGAGAGAGAAGCCTAGTAATCAGACCGTGTTTGGAATGGTCCCAGCGCGGGGAAAGGTTATACAGGTGCACAACATAGTTACTGGACAACTTATATGTCCTGCTGGGCTCACCACACGTGCAGCTGCCATCTGTCACCGTACAACGCTGTGACAACATCATTGCCTACATTCCCTATGCTGTGCCTTTTCTTCCCTCGACTTATGCCATGACCGGAAGCCTGCATCTCCCACTGCCCTGCCCCCATCTTGCCCATCCCCCACCCCTCCCCGCTGGCAATTACCAGTTTGTTCTCTGTATTTATAGGTCTCTTTCTGCTTTTTGTTTGCTTATTCATTTGGGGTTTTTTTTTCTTTAGCTTCCACATATAGGCGAAACCATATGGTATTTATCTTTCTCATCAGACTTGAATATATTTGCCTGTCTGATGGTTAGCAGCATTTGACTGTGGTTTTAATTTTTTTTTTTTAAGTTTTATTTTTCAAATTTGTGAGGGAGACAGAGACGGAGCCCGAGCAGGGGAGGGGCAGAGAGATGGAGACAGAATCAGAAGCGGGCTCCAGGCTCCGAGCTGTCAGTACAGAGCCAGACGGGGGCTGGAACTCAGGAGCAGTGAGATCATGACCTGAGCTGAAGTCGGATGCCCAACCGACTGAGCCACCCAGGGGGCCCCTTGACTGTGGTTTTAATTTGCATTGCCTGATTACTAATGAAGTTTGTTGGAGCTGTTTATAAATTCTGGACACTGATCTTTGTTTAAGAAATACTGTTGGCAGATATATTCTCACTGTGATTTATTTTAACTTTATTCCTGGATTTCTTTTGATGGACACAATTTTTTTTTTTTTTTTGAGAGAGAGAGCGCGAATGCAAATGGGGGAGACAGTCAGAGGGAGAGAGAGAGGGAGAGAGAGAGAGAGAGAGAGAGAGAATCTTAATCTTAAGTACAACCCTGGGATCATGACCTGAGCCGAAATCAAGAGTCAAGACGCTTAACCAACGAGCCACCCAGGCGCCCCAGAAATTTTTCTTTTAATTCAACTTAGTAAAATATTTCTTGACGACTAGTGTTTTCTATATCTTATTTAAAGAATCCCTCTCTATCTTACAGTCATGAAGATTGTGTTCTAAACGCATTAAATGTTTGCTTGTCGTACTTAGGCACCTGATTCATCTAGAATTCATTTTTGTGCATAGAGTGAGGTAAGGGTCTATTTTTTTCTAAATGCTAACTAATTGTGTCATTATTGAGTAGTTTATCCTTTCCCTGATTTTTAACAGTTTTATTGAGATATTACGCACAAACCACAAAACTCACCAATCGAAAATGTAAAATTCACTTTTTTTTTTTTTTAGTATACTCACAGAGTTGTCCAGCTATCACCACAAGCTAATTTTAATTTTTTTTTTAACGTTTATTTATTTTTGAGACAGAGAGAGACAGAGCGTGAACAGGGGAGGGGCAGAGAGAGAGGGAGATACAGAATCTGAAACAGGTCCAGGCTCTGAGCTGTCAGCACAGAGCCCGACGCGGGGCTCGAACCCACAGACCGTGAGATCATTACCTGAGCCGAAGTCAGACGCTTGACCGACCGAGCCACCCAGGCGCCCCAAGCTAATTTTAAAATATTTTCATCATCCCAAAAAGAAACCCTGGAGTCATTATCAATCACTCTCCATTATCTCTCCCACTCCCTGTCTCTCCACCCCACCAGCACCAGGAAAACCCTCATCTACCTTCTGTCTGTGTTGATTTGTCTATTCTGGACACTTCACAGAAATGCAGTCATACAATATATGGTCTTCCATGAGTGGCCTTCTTTCACTTGGCACAATTTTTCCACACTTCATCCATGTTGTAGCGTGTATGAGTACTTTACTCCTTTTATGGCCAAATCATATTTTATAGACATACCACATTTTTTTTATCCACTCATTAGTTGATGGATATTTGGTTTGTTTCCATTTTGAGGCTATTATATTTATTCATTGCTACTATAATATCGCTAATGTTATAATTAATATAATGTCATATATCATATTATTTGAACTACATTATATTTTACAATATCAGAGTATAATTAATATAACATTGTAGATTGTATTGTTTATATTATACTCGCATAATGTTCTATTTGATGTGCTAATATATTATTAATATATAATTATAATAATATGCAATATATCTTAATATATGAATTTATATTATATATATAATATTGTCCAATATAATATATTACATTGATATAATATGCTATTGCTAATATACACTTTTGTATACTAGTTTTTTTTTTTTTAATGTAGAATATTGCCAAGGTGATCTGGCAGAAAAGCTTTTTTTTTAAATTTTTACTTTTAATTTTATTTTTTAAATTTACATCCAAATTAGTTAGTATCTAGTGCAACAAAGATTTCAGTAGACTCCTTAATGCCCCTTACCCATTTAGCCCATCCCCCCTCCCACAACCCCTCCCGTCACCCTCAGTTGGTTC